GTCTTCTAACCATCCCTTTTTGCTGAGATTTGGCTGGAATCTTCCCTTTGGAATAATGTTGGTCAACTTTTCCCCCAATAGGCCTTAGCTACAGCACAGTCTTTTTCCACCTGTGAGCCTACTGTCACTGGTTGATCCATTGTGTGACAATACCTCAGAGGCACTCAGCTAGTTTAGATTGCAATTATTCAAAATCCTCAAGTCTCTAAAGCTGTCATGATGTGCCCTGAAAACCTTTCACCTGCTTAACTCTTGTCCCGGTTCCAGGGAGGAGTTTATTCTTAAGCCAGTGTCCTCAGGTGAGTAATTTCCCTAACCAAATGGTGAGGGCGTTACAGCGTTTTCCCTAGTGATTCTGTTTTCCTGATTCTGTTCCCTTTCACCCACTGGCCCTGTCTGTCCCTCCCTGATCTGCCTGCCTGAACCTCTGTTGGACTCCTGCTGGATTCTGTCTGTGCGTTTCTGTCTGAGCTGGATCCTCGACGCACGAGACCCTGAACCCGGTTTCATGCTCTGATGATTCAAAAACAATAAGGTGATAGCTTCAGTGGTATTGAAATAGGATCCCAGTTTTTATCTGCTGAATGTTTTTTTTCACAACACAAAAAAACTGCTCTAATTTTTACAGATGAATTTAACAGTTTTTCTTGATAAAATGATAGTTTTAACTTAAATTAAGTCAAAAATATGTAAAATTCCTAAATTATAAATTTATATTGACCTCATAAGAAATAGAATTTTTATTGAACCTTTATTGAAAAGAAATTTCCCTTCATGCAGCTCTCTTAATATATTTGAATCCGTTGCCCTGTTTTTTATTTCATGCTTTTCTGGGCCCCCTCCTGGCCCCCTGGTACATTTGGTCTAAATCCGCCACTGTTCCTCCCCTTCACTAGACGTGGATATACTTTAGTATATTCTGCTGTAAAATTAGTGCTATATTTCCGTTTTTTACACGAAGATTCAACCTCTGCCATTTCACAGGATGCACAGCTTTGAGTGGTAACTAGGTGACTGCCAGACAGACCCGGCGGCATGGGCGGGCATTGTGGGGCCGTGCCCGCCCACGGAGGCGCCCATGCCTGCCCTGGACTGGCAGCCGTCTTTTTTTTTTTTTTCATCTTTAACTCGGCGTAGCCAGCTTTCTATTATTCCTCTCTCATTCTGTCAGTCATACAATTCAACCAATCAAACCGACGACTAAAGACAACATCCAATCAAACAACAGAGGGGGCGGGAGTTGCGGACACTGAGTCAAACATACTTAACGTTCGTACATGCTTTAAATCCGTCTGGTCACCAGCCAGTGCGCGTCGGTATGGATATTCAGGCTTATTTTCAAAGCAATAGAAGGACAAGTACTGAAAACAGAGTAAATGAGAGTGGCCAGGGAGCAGTTTCTGCAGGAAATGTAAGCAAGACAGTCAGCACTGAAGTAAAAAAAAAATAATGCTTTTCCAATCAGTTTATTTTTAATAAATGAAATGATGAAAATAGAGTTTCAGGTGCAATATAGTCATTCCAGCATATATGTGCAATCGCAGTAGTTCTAATCCGAACATGGTGAATGAATTATTGTATTGCCTGTTCGCTCTCACTCGCATTTAAAAAACACCACCTCGCATTGTCTAAAATCCGGGATAATTTATGCGACTCGCGGGCATCCGTGAACAACTATATATATAAGGGAGACTCACGGAACATCAGGGAGATTTGGGATGTCTGGTCACTGACCGAGTCCAAACAATTGCTGGGAGGCTAGTGGTAGCGTGCTAGCTCCCAAACAAACAAACTATCACCAGTTCCCACTTGTCAAACCTTGTGATCTGATGAAGGTTTTAATCCGCAATTATGCATGTAAAAGTTGAGGAAGACAGTATTGTAGACTTTTTAGAGGCATATGATCGGCTAGAAGCCTACCTGCATCAACATCAGACAGTGTCTCCTACCTGGGCTGCCGCTCATCAGCTTTATAAGCTGCAGCTTTCATGTAACCATACAACCATGTGAGAACAGAATTCTCTCATTTGGCTTTTATGTTGTGGTAAAGAAATTAAGGAGAAGAAGATTTTATTTTAAGATACATCTTTAAATAAAAAATAAATGAAATAGAATTCAACAAAAATAAAACCAAATTATCCTGGTTTCACACGCTTCTGTTCTTTCTGTTTAATTTTAATAAACGTTTTGAACGTTCCTACTGGCTCTCTCTCACCTTGAATACTGGGTCCATCTATCCCCTTTTATGACAAAAGCACTGTTCTGGAAGTGGGACCATGTCTCTTAATTTTTCTTCCACCTCTGAAAGGCAGAAATGCTGCATAAAATGCTTCCTTGAATTCTGTCCAGTTAATTAATTCACGCTCTGACAGCGGTCTCACTTTCAGGAATGTTTCATACTGGTCTATGAAGTTTCATACACCTCTCTTGCCCCCAAACATTGGACAGTTGATATGAAGAGGAGGTTTGGCATAAGGCTCCGGTCCCCTTCCCATGGTAGGTGGGTTGAAAGGCATGGCTGAGGCAGGTGGAGCTGGAACTTCAATAGGCCTACTCTAAGGTAGAATTGGGGGTGAAGGGTAATTCCTTTCTTCAGACTGGGTGCTTGGCTGATTACAGCTGGATGGATAGGTAGCTGCCTGGGCAGCATTGGC